TAAATACGAGAGATGCCATCGCCCACTTGAAGTACGGTACCGGTATTTACAATCGTTACTTCTTTATTATATTGCTCAATACGTTCACGGATAATATTACTAATTTCGTCGGCTCTAATGGTTACCATGAGTATTGTCCTAATTCTTTTTTGGAAGAAAAAAAATAATGCCTATCATAATCGTAAGGAAAGAACTAATCCGTTATTTCTTTCATCGTACCAAACATACCAATATTTGCATTAATAGTACGTAAATGTAACTCGTTACTCAAACAGCTGTTTAGGGTTCCTATAGCTCCTTGTAAAGCTTGTTGGAAAACCCGTTCGCGGACTTGATTAATTGTTCTTTGTTGCTCAAAAAGAATGGTTTCGTTTTTGTAATTTTCTAATTGTTTCAAAGTCTTATAAGTTGAATCAATCAAATTTAATTTTTCTCGTTCGATTTCAGAGTATCCATTCACGCGAAACTGATCTGCCTCCGTTTCTACTTTACCCAAGCGAGCTCGGGCGTTTTCTAATTGTTGAATAGCTCCTTCACGTAGTTCTTCTGAATTTCGAATAGTATTTAATATCCTCTGCTTTCGGTTATCTAATAAATCATTTAATGAAAGTAGATTATCTTTTCAGTAACAAAAAAAAGTTCTATGATCCCTTCCCGAACCAAACATGAATCTTTCGATTCATTTGGCTCTCATGCTCACTTATTCCAATTATTTATCAATTATTTATGAGACTTTCATTCCCATATTTTTCATGTAATGAGCCTATCCTCTCCCTTTTTTTTTGGACTCAATTCATAGCTCAATATATATTTCTATCCAAAAAGCGAAAAATATAACCAATCCAAGACAAAAATATTCGGAGGATTCTTCTGACCAATAAAAAAATCGATAATTGTCAGCAAAGTTGTTTCCTTTTTTCTTAAAATCCAAAGAATTTTTATTACTTTATACGTAGGTTATCAATTCCGCATTATCCAAAAAGACTCAAAAAATTTTATCGACATGAGTGTTTTATATCGAAAAAAGTCTAACTATTCTTTTTGAAAATCTTATTCATTTTTGAATTAGACTACATATAGTAGAAAGAGTACCGTGGTGCATCTGAACTTCAAACAGTTTAACTTTAACCATGTTAATTAATGGTCCCAAATTTTGGATTGATAGAGAATCAAAGTAAAGTAGACTTACCAAAAAATAACGAAATGCTATGGTTCTAAAATATGATTTTTTTTATTGCATTTTTTATTCAGAAGTAATTCGCGGGATTAGGCACTTTTTCCTAGTTCTAGTGCCGCTGGGTGAATCCAGCCTATATCTTGAAATGAACAACTCACACACACTCCCTTTCCAAAAAAAATCAATACACCAAAGACTACACTTAGATTTATTGGATTTGTTGCTAAAATATCGGTATTAAACCCGAAACTCCCGGCGGATGGCCAGTGACCCAAGTAAACGAAAGAATCGGTTAAATTTTTCATATAATCTCCTCTTCTAGCTAAACTATAAAAAAGGAACTCTGTCCTTTTTTTTTCTTTTTATTTTATTGAAAATAAAAAGAAAATTTCATTTAATAATTTATAATTTCATTTACCTATTTGGATATTTGTAAACAGAATTAAAAACCTATTCTATTTACAAATGTATTTTCCAAAATTTTTAATTTTCAATAATAATAATGAGACTTAATTAGAATTAAGCTATAATTTAAGACCAAGTTTTATGTTAATTTTTAAAAATCTCCAAAAAAAAGTTTCCATTAAACTAAAAAACTAAAGGAATAAGGGGAAGGAAGAAAGCGAATCGATGTGCTAATTCCCCATCCTCAAATTAGTCCTTCCCAAGGATTGTTGTCTCAATGAATAATTGTAGGAGTTAAATATTGATAGAATTAAAAAAACTACGAAAAAAAATTCAGAATTTGCTGATTTCTAGGATTAAACAAAAGGATTCGCAAATAAAAGCGCTAATGCTACAACCAGACCATAAATTGTTAAAGCTTCCATAAAAGCCAAACTAAGCAATAAAGTACCTCGTATTTTTCCTTCTGCCTCAGGTTGTCTCGCAATACCTTCGACAGCTTGACCCGCAGCTGTACCTTGACCAACTCCAGGTCCAATAGAAGCAAGCCCGACAGCCAACCCAGCAGCAATAACCGAAGCAGCAGAAACCAGTGGATTCATGATAAGTTCCTCACACCAAAATAAAGAAATAGTTAATGATACAATCATCAAATTACTTAGGACTTAATTCTAATTAAGTCATCCCTAAGATTCATCCAGCCAAAATCACCAAAAACTTTAATTGAAATATTAATTGAAATAATAGAATTATATTATTGAATCATAAGAATTACTTTGATATGGGATTTTGAAAAATTCATAATATATATACGACTTTTTATGCCATTTCTTTTTTGTGAACCATTCTTTGAATTCATCGTTCTTTTTTTTATCATTTTTTTCAGTCAATTTACGGATAAAAAGGAAGAACTTCTAATCGAATCCTTATCTAAATCAAAATTCACAAAAGTAGTGGGACAGATTATATAGATCTTTAACTCATATATACCTAGTCAATATCAAATATCACATATACAAGTGTTTCTTACATAACGTAAACCAACTATTCTATAATTGAATTGGGCTAACCTAAAAACGAATATTGAAAAAAAAAAAGAGTTAATGATGACCCTCCATAGATTCACCTATATAAGCCGCAGCTAAAGTGGCAAAAATGAGAGCTTGAATCCCGCTTGTAAATAATCCAAGGAACATGACAGGTATAGGAACCACTAAAGGTACTAAAGAAACAAGAACAACAACTACTAATTCATCGGCTAATATATTTCCGAAAAGTCGAAAACTAAGTGATAGGGGTTTTGTAAAATCTTCTAAGATGTTAATGGGTAAAAGAATTGGAGTTGGTTGAATGTATTTACTGAAATACCCTAATCCTTTTTTGCTAAGACCCGCATAAAAATATGCTACGGATGTGAGTAAAGCTAAAGCAACCGTCGTATTTATATCATTCGTTGGTGCTGCTAACTCCCCTTGGGGTAGCTGGATAATTTTCCACGGTAAAAGGGCTCCTGACCAGTTAGAAACAAAAATAAATAAAAACAGAGTTCCAATAAACGGAACCCATGGACCATATTCTTCTCCAATCTGGGTTTGACTCACGTCTCGAATGAATTCAAGGACAAATTCAAAGAAATTTTGGCCGTCAGTTGGAATGGTTTGTGGATTGCGAACCGCTAGAACTGCGGAACCTAATAAGATAGCAATTACAACCCAAGAAGTAATAAGGACTTGCGCATGGACTTGGAACCCCTATTTGCCAATAGAAATGTTGGCCCACTTCTACACCAGATATCTCATATAACCCTTCTTTTATTAGTGTGTTGATGGAACATGATAAAACATTCATATTGCCCTCTGACAGAAATAAGAACTTTAAATTATTTTGATTCAAGACCCCCCTTTTTTTACTTATTTACTTGAATTTTATATTTGAGTTTTGGATACCAACTAAACTAATCACCCAAGATCCCAGTTTTTTCTCTCTTTTTCTTTTGTACGATTCAGGAGTAGTAACCAATTTTATAAATAGAAATACAGGGAGCCCCACCCCTCAAAAAATTTTATTTATTTATCTTATTATTAATCAAGAATTTTGTATATAGCTAGAACGACCCTCACAAATTGCGAATACTAATTTGTTAAGAATGAATCGAATTGAAGCTATAGCGTCATCGTTTGCTGGAATAGAAATATCCGCGAGATCGGGATTACAATTTGTATCGATTAAAGAAATGATTGGAATTCCCAAAGTTATACATTCTCTAAGAGCCGTATATTCTTCTTGCTGATCGATGATGATTACAATATCAGGCAATCCCGTCATATATTTAATCCCGCCTAGATATGTTTCCAAGCGAGATAATTGTCTCTTCAACACAGCTGCATCCCTTTTCGGAAGACGGTTGAATCCCTCTGTCTTTTGTTCAGTTCTCAAGTCCCTAAACTTATGAAGTCTTTTTTCTGTAGTGGACCAATTTGTTAACATGCCGCCGAGCCACTTTTTATTAACATAATGACACCGAGCTCTTATTGCAGCCCGCGACACTAAATCAGCTGCTTTATTTTTTGTCCCAACAATTAAGAATTGTTTTCCCCTACTTGCTGCATCAAAAACTAAATCACAAGCTTCTGATAAAAAACGAGCAGTTCTCGTCAGATTTATAATATGAATACCTTTACGCTTTGCAGAAATATAAGGTGCCATTCTAGGATTCCATTTCCTAGTACCATGTCCAAAATGAACTCCTGCTCGCATCATCTCTTCATCTTCCCTTCTCTCTCTCTCTCTCTCGTTTCCTTTAAAACTGAAACCCTTTTCTCTATTTGAAGTTTATCAAACATTTTAAATCCAAAAACCTCTCTTATGCTTGATGAATCATCTGTCCACTTGTTGTGCGTAATATCAACTAATATCAACGAAGGTGGTGTTAGAGATCCATTTCCGCGGGTTCTCTAGTATAAGCCACTCGATCCATCTTTCAATCCATTCAATCATCCATCATCAGTTTCCTTGTGATCCGATCCATCCATTCACTTAACTTCAAAGCCGATCTAGTCCGGGGGCGTATCAACAGGAGAGGAACCCTTCACAGGATATTCAAAGGAGCAAGGGAGTTTCCACGTTTTCAAACCTCTTTCACGGATTAAGATTCTGTTTGCTTGGGGACAAGCAAAGATCGAAGTCTAGGGGAGTTGATATACCTCTATTTTACATGCGTTTTATACTGTTTTAGTATTTTTTTTCTAATGTTTTTTGGCAGGTTTTCTATCTAAAAAGGTATTTTTATTGGATTTATAGTACTAAGAGTCTAAACAGGTGAAATGATGCATTTTGGAACAAAACCATAAGATTTGCACTTCAAGCCGCTCCATGCACAAGCATCAACTTTAAGAGGGCCCAGAAAAAGATCTACTCAATGGATTTCATCAAGACCAGTTCCTTGCGTGCTCTGAGTGAGTTAACTTTCCAACGAAACTGGAACGGCCTAATTTGGATGAGTAGAAATGGAATTACAACCAAAAGAGTGAAGACTGGTCCAGACGGCTCTATCGAGAATCAGCGCCCAAACCGCGCATAGCGGCTGGCCGAGAAACGTTTGCGTCGGCCAGAAATCCATCCGTCCGTCTCGGCCAAAGTTCAACCGCACCGGCCGATCACGCATCACGACCCGGGAAACATGTCCCGCGGTCGGCCAAGCCACGCCACTCACGCCATGCCGCGCACGACCATGCCGCGCGAGCCGGGAACAAGCCTCGCGGCCGCGCAACCTCTCGCGTACCACGGCCGATGCGCCGTCCGAGCCGGGAAGCACGTCCCGCGTCCGGCCGAGAATCATCGGCCAATCTCATCCGTCCGACCCAGCGGCCGACCGACGAATCCGTCCGGCCACGACCGTTCCGACTCGCCACGACCCGATGTCCGGCCGATCGTCCCGACCGACCGTCCAACGCCGCGGTCGACCCGAAGCCCGTTTCACATATTTTCAAGCCCGGCTTAACCCTAAGCCGCCTCTAAAGACCTAGCACTATATATATAGCTTTTTAGCCTCTTGTGAAAAGAGAGCCGCCCTTGTATTTCGATTTCCTACTCTAAGTTTTATTGCAATCATGTTTTCTTCATCTCTATGTGTGTTTGCTTTGATCATGTCTGAGTAATCCACTAGTTAGGTTGCTAGGGTTACTATTCAATGAGTTGCTTGCATGATCTTTGATTTCAATGATTAGCTAGGGATTATATTAGAGTCTTTGTCTCGTCTTGTGCACTTAACTAATGCTGATTGCTTTACCGCGCATCTAGTAATCCGATCTTAGGTTGATTTGAGCCTCGACAGTGTTGTATCATTCGCCGGACATATTCTTTGACAAGCTAGGTTTCTTAGACTGCGAAAGTTGATCTACTATAATCTAGTGAACTGTATCAGAACCTATTCATTCTAAAGCTTGATTTAATCACCTAGGGACATACCAAAAGTTTAGCGACTAGGTAGATTAACAAAGGAGCCGGAGCCTCGAAAGTGGAATGGTTTTATATTCGTGATCTGTGTTCTAGACGGTTCTTAATATCCCAACATCCCTAATCAATTCATCTATCATTGTTTCATTGATCATTGCTTGCTTCTCTGCGATTAGCCCCTATGACCTAGCGCTTTTCCTTATTGATTTACAACCTCGTTATACTTGCTAGTTCGGTTCACCATTACAACCTCAATCATACTTTTGTTTTAGCTTGATCCAAAATCCATAGTTTCAAAGTGTACTCAATAGCCAGTCCTTGTGTTCGATACCCATACTTCCGCGATCTGTGCACTTGCAGAGGTCTAGGAGTTTGGTAAAACCTGACTCAACATCAGGGGGCCCCACCTGCCTTCGGACCTGATGTCCGGAGACTGCAAGCACAATCCTGGAAAGTCAAATGTACTACGAAACTCCAACATTTTCTGTGGCAGATTATTAGCAGTTGTTTATCGGTTGGGGCCCGGCTATGCAGTCGGGGAATGAAAGTGGACCCGCAATGTGGGCGATGTGGAATGGGAGATGAGACTATAAATCATATGCTCTTTGAGTGCCCCCCGGCTCGCCAGGCTTGGGCCCTCTCACCCATTCCAACGCCTCCTCAGGTTTTTCCTACGGACGCACTCTTTTCGAATATGGCTCACCTATTCTGAATCTCCCAGACAACGATGATATGTTTATGTATCCATGGCTACTCTGGTTCATTTGGAAAGCCCGAAATTATAAAGTTTTCTCAAATGATGATCATAGTCCGATGGACGTAATGGAATCCGCGATAACGGAAGCACGTGCATGGGCTGCGGCCCAAACGGTAGCTGCAACGGTGCACTTTGATATTTCCACACATCCCGGGCCCGTCCTGTTGGGTGAGTGGTGTCAGATTGATGGCGCATGGAAAGTGATGGAGTCTCGGGTAGGACTTGGGTGGTACAATTTTGATCCGGAATCGGGCTCAACCTTGGTTGGATCCAGTACTATAAGGCGGGGGTTATCTCCCCTACAGACGGAATTGGAGGCATTGGTTTGGGCTATGCAAGTTATGTTAGCCCATAACAAACAACGGATGAATTTCCAAACAGATTGTGCTCAGTTGGTGAAGATGGTGTCCAAACTGGCAGAGTGGTCAGCTTTTGAGATTTTGTTTGAAGAAATGGAGAAATGCAGAAGGATGTTTCAGGCGTTCCCTTACACACATCCCCAGATCACAAAACACGAAGGCAGACAAGCTAGCACGGAGTGATCGGGATCAACCTCATAATGTGTACTACATCAACTCAATTCCACCGACCTCGCTCCCCGAGCCGTTGTAGAAATTTAGGCTGTTGACAAAAAAAAAAAAAAAAAAAAAAAAAAAAAAAACCGTAAACACTAAAATCTAGCCTTAAACCCTTCAATCTAAACCCTAAACCCCAAATCTAAATCCTAGTTAGGGATTAGTGAACCCAAACTTACATGTTAAATTTAGAAAAAATGTAGTTTTGAAAATTTGCACCATAAAGATGTAGCTTTGAAAATGAACCCATCAATATCATGTATTTCTTCAAATTTCTCCAAAACTTTCACAATTTATTATATTATTTAAAATTAATCATAAAAATATTAAAATTAAATTACAAGACTCAAAATAACAACAATTTCCCCACTTCATAATCATTGCTTTATTGATGTTATTTTTAGTTTAAGTATTTATCCTGTATTTTTAAATTTACTATTAGCTTAAATAATTATATTTTCTATTAAATATGTGTCATTTGTATTTTAGAGTAAAAATAAACATCAAAATAATTAATTATAAATCTTAAAGTGAAATAATTTAAAATTTTAAGGACTTTTATAAAGAAAAAGTTCAACTTCAAGATATAAATGGGATGATCTCATACTTGGGGAAAAATATGACAGTTTTTATATTTTGAAGTTGGAAATAGGGTTGAAGTAAAATTGACTGCAAAATAGCAATAAATGTGAAAATTGAGCTAAGTTGGAGATGCTCTTACCAATCACACCAAAATTTATACTATTTGATGTTTCATATTTCTAACAAGTTTTATATACTTAGCTTGTATAAATAATCAAGTTCTCGATTCTTCTTGAAGAAATCGATAGATGCAAGAGGAGGTTCATCACCTTCTCCATCCATCATATACCAAGGACAAAAAAATACGAAGGCAGATAAGCTAGCACGAAGTGAACGAGATCTCCTTCACAAATGTATAGGAATAGATGTTGTTGGAAAAAAAAAGTACTCAGGTTTTTTATCATATGAATATTTAGAGTTTCTTTTGTTTCATTTATATTAGATTTCATTGTAATGTTTTGAATTATATATGATTTTTTTTAATAATACAATCAATTTTTTAGTTTTTGAAATAGCTCATTTCCATGGAATAATATTTATTTTTACAAATAAAGAAAACCTATATATATTTGTGAAATGTTTACATTTTATGTTTATACATATAGCACAATAACAAAATGAAACAAATTCTTACTTTTATAGTAAAAGTGTAAAACTATATAATATTGGGTAAAAGTAATATTTTGTTATTAATTTCATACATTAATATAAGAGAGAGATTACAATAATAAATTATACTATTGTGTCATTAAAATATTTAATTAATTATTTTATTTAAAAAATATTATACCCACACCACCTTGTAACGAACAAAAGAACTTTCACAAATAAAGGAGAAAGAACATGGAAACAGAAACCACCGGCCTTTAAGTTACACAATCATAAGAGTTTTGTGTTATATAAAATAATACCAAAATCTTGAAAATAAAACAAAAAAGGAAACTAAAACCAGAAGCAGCCAATAAATTTTTCCATGGATCGAGACAGAGGATAACTTGGAGAGAAAAAAACTATGCTTGCATCAGAAGCACATATTCATTCAGTCCCTCTTCTGCGTAGGAATTACCAACTCGCATCCCTGAGAATTAGAGATGCAAACGTTTTTAAAGAATTGAGACAGCATCAAGTTTGTACATAAGATGTAAAACAATATTTTACCTTGTTCCCATCGGCAGCTACTTCTCCATCTAAATTTTCTTTTGCGATCTCTTCGGTTGATGGAATCTCTGATTCTAGTGATTTTGTAGTAACAGCTTCTTCATCGATGTTCCTAGTCATCAGAGAAACAAAATTTATACTATACTATTGAGCTTTACCAATTAAAATATCTATTTAGGTTATGACTCACTTGTTGTCGAAAGCTTGTTTGTTCTTCTCCAAACACTCGACTAGATTTTTCTGGATGTCTGTAGTTTCATCCTCTCTCTTATTCGTTTTCCTCAGTTTCTTTGGTGAAGTTTCATCATCACCATTCTCAGAGAATAATACGGAACTTGAAGTTCTGGCTTTTGACCTCGTAATCCTTGAACGCAAAGGAATCTCTGTGGACACTGAAACAAATCCCCAAACTATTTTCATCTAAGAGAAATGCGAGATGCAGACGTACGTTCTCTACCAAAAGACATGAGTGAAGAGAATCAATCTAAACAAAAACGGTGGTTCACTTCGAAAATCCAATGCAACTAGTAATCAATCTAAAAATTCAGAATCTGAAAAATAAATCATCAAGCACGGTAATATAGCCATACTAAAATAAATCCAAGTGTATATCTAACTCTGAAGATACAACTACTAATAATTCAAGTTCCAATCAACAAAGCAAACACAAGCTCAGAAGATACAAGAGTACGAAACGGTATACCTTCATCATCAGCGGCGGATAGATCGGCAGATAGATCATCGTCATTTATAAAACTGTCATCGTAGTCGTACTCACCGACGCTACCATTGTCCATATCTGAGAAACCAATGTCTTCTCCATATGACTCCCTAATTAAGTCAAGGATACAATACAAAGCAACAATCTATGAACAAAAACAATAATCCAATAAGAACTTTAATCTTAAAACCGATAAAGAGGATACAATTCGTCATCATTTTGACTAAAATATGTGCTAGTTCCAAGGATGTAGCCACTAAGGTGAATGCTACCAGCTCCAAGCACAGAGAAGATGACATCATCAGCTTCTTCAAACACTATGTTCAACTGGCAAGACTCAATCTTTTCAGGAGACAGGCTACATAAGATGACAGGACTACAGCTCCCAACGTTACACTGAAGAACGCTTCTTCCTGCTGCATTTCCAAGCCCCAATGTCGCCTAAACCCAAAAAAAAAAAAAAAAAAAACAAACATCAGCCAAATAACAAAAAGAAAACTACGTGTAAAGTTCTAAGCTTGTTTGAACAAAGCTCAAATCAACAGAAAATATAATAAATTAACAAAACAGAGAGAATTAAGCGTTCAAGGTACGAAATTTTAGGGTAAAACTTAAGATTAGCGACCTGAGAAAGGTGAAGCCTTTGTATTCCAGTTGCTTCCGAAGCCTTCAGAGTAAAAGGCCTCCCTGATCTCACTTCAGCTCCTGCAAAACACATAAATCTCATCAACACCAAACTTTTATCGGAAACAAAAAAATAAACCATATC